GGCTCTGGTCCTAGGAGATGGCAGCAAGCCAGCCAGCTACTGTGCCCTCGGGCTCTGGTCTGAGAGAGACTGCAGTGCAGCCTCTGTTTGCTACCTTCTGCCAGCTCTGCTGCAAAGGTGGCTGGCTTCTGAAATGCACTCAGCTTCTGTTCCCAGCTCTTTGGCTAGGAAACCACCTTTCACCCAGGCCTTCTCAGGCTGTAAGCTTAAAGTCCCTCACACACTGCAGCACTGTCTGCTCCCATGGAGACTGGAGGACTGCAGCGTGATGGGTCAGATCTAGAAGCTGTTCCTTTGGAAATCACAGTGGCGCTTGAAGAGCTGATAGCATTGCCTCCTCCAAAGTTGGTGACAATGGCAGTGATGACAAGCCTATCTGCTTCTGAGATTATGGCCCCCAAAACTCTTGGAGGTGGACTCTCACTCCCCGTAGTCTGGCTTCTAGTAAGGGTTTTACAAAGCCGCACCAGAAGTTTTTATTAAGCTGCACCAGAAGTTTTTATTCCTCTTATACACGAGAACAGGCCTGGAACTCTTAACCAGCAGGGCCAACAGGAACCTTGGGTCAATTGTGATGTAAAAGATACCACAGAACTAAGAAACAAGGTTTCCAAAGTAACTCTTGGGTACACTTATTACACTGTTAGAAAATCCCAGCAAGCTGTAGCAAAATAAGAATGTTCAACACAATGTTCGCAACCTTACATCAAGGAGTGACAGCTCTGGTTATAGACCTGGACCCTGCCAAAGACTTCCAAAGAGCAGCAGCATGGCCCTTATCCTATGATCTTCACACTTTGTTTTTAGAGTCTGTGACTGAAATGGAGCCAAGGGTAGAATGCACAGCCAGAGCCTTTGTTAGTCGGCTGCGGCTCCTAGCAGCGTGCCCTAGGACAACATACCTTACCATATGGAGCTTTACAGATGAAGGGCTCATGGGACACTCCTGCCTGGTGTTGGGGCTGAGATTAAAGCATTCAAGAAACTGGAAGAGAAACTTAGGGAACGCTCCATGGCGATGCAATGTTTCTTCAAGTCAAAGTGCTTACACTGAAGGGGCATGAGCGGCTAGGACCAGTGCTCTATCCAAATCTGTGCAAAGTTCCAAATTCTCAAAAAAAAAAAAGAAAGTTTCATGGGTCATTTAAAGACTACAGGTCCATGAAAGAGAGCTTGTCAAAACTGACTTTTAAGTTGAACAAGCAGTAAATAAACCTTCTAAGAAAGAAAGAGGTATGAGTGGAGCTGACAGAAGGAGTTAGATCTGTGTTAGGAGAAACTGAAGATGACATTAGAGAAACGAGGACAGAGGCCTCATCCATAGCTGAAGCAATCAATATTAGTGCACTCCTAGATGTCATCAGAAGATAGAGTTATTGATTAAAAAAAAAAAAAAGAAAGATCCACACAGTCTCCATCTGAGGAGAAGCAGAGCCCACAGCTTAGGGTTTAGCCAAGGAAAGGTGGTGCGAGAGAATGCAGAAGTCTTAACTTCACCCTGACAATAAAGCCTGGAAGCATACAGAAAACAAGTCAAGTACAAGGCTCCATATTATAAAGGGTCACAGGAAGATGGCTATGCCAGGACCAGAAGGGTAGAGAGCCAAAGACAGACATGAGACCACACCAAACCTGAAAGAACTCGGTCAGGAACTAGATGAGCCAGGACTGCCGTGGGGGTGCTGAGAACAAATATTCTTTTATGACCAAAACCCACAACAAACAGAGGGGGATAAACCAAATGTTTGTAGCAAATAGGGCATTTCACAAGAAGCAGGGAGAGGAAGGAGAACTGCTAAATGTGGATCTGCCTTCTCTGGAGAGAAGGACATTAAGAACATGTCTGTTATACTATTTCTTCTGCCCAAGACAGAAAATGTGGTATTTGAAGCCATCTCTGCTGTTAGCTGGAAACTCACTAACTGATCCTTTGCAGGTCAACAGATTGGCACCTGAGCCCTGGATCAGACTGAAGGACAGAGCCTACAATCTGTTCAGAGAACAGAAACCAGGACAACCAAGAAAAACGGAGTCAAATCAGAGAAGGGTTACAAAGGTGTGAGTGGCTGCTGACATTCACGTGCTTTCAGGGACTCATCGGCACAGGCCCAGGAAAGGGACTGAGCCCAACTGATTGGCTGATTTACAAGCCACTGCACAAGTCCAGGGGGTCGGAATTATGGTAGGGGGAAACTGAAGGAGAGAGCTCCTGTCCGAGCTCACGAGGCTTGCAAACTGGTTCATGGGAGAAGCTGCCTTGGGCTCAGAAACCCATAGATCTGCTCTGAGGGAGACGAAAGTCTAAGGCTGGTAGGCCCAACACTCTTCTGAGGGGGAAGGGCTGGAACCTTCAGGTTCTTCAAGACAGTGTTCTGGCACAGAAGCGTGCAAGTTTACCATCACGCGAAGGAACAAATGTTCTTCATTTGTATGAGCTAAGGGCTTATCCTGGAATGTAGGGGCATCAGGTACCTTTCAACTCCTGTGGAGACTTGCACCTCTCTGCACAGGTGTCCCGAGCAGTCCACACATGGGGTCCTTCCTACTCCTCATTCACTCACAAAGGACTCCATGTTCGTGCACAGGCAACACTCAATGCCAGCCAGCCTGGGCAGACATCAGCCCACGCCAGGACGCAGCAGCTCTCCTCTTCACTGACCTTCACCCAGCATGTGCTTTCACTGCCAGGTCCTACCCACCCCCCTGAGATTGTCCTTGCTGCTGGCCTCACATTGCACCTGCTTCCCCTCTGAACACACCCCTGCACATCCCTGGTCGAAAGCCCCTAACAGCACCCTGTCCTGCCGCCAGTCACATCCCCCACCACAGGCCATTCAGACTCCACGGGGCTCAGCCAGGCAGTCCAGTGTCATTATTCTGAACGCAGTATTATAATAATGCATCATTTATAATCTGGAAATAATGGAACTCTATGAAACACCATGCAAGGATATGTCCCCTTGCTTAGTAGAAACAGCTCTTCCATAATTCATGATGTGCAAGTTCTAATGGCTGATGGATAATTTGGAAGCAGTGAAAGCACTCTGTGGCACCGACATGCTGGCCTTCAGAGTGTGTTCACCTCGCCTCTGGTGCCAAAGTGCCTAATTCAATCCTGCTCTGTCATTGTGGTCATCAAGTGAACTAGAGGGATGTTTCTGTCCCTAGGCAACCTGCTGGTCCCATCCTCATGGCACCAAAATCTCTCTGTTCTACATGGAAACACCGTTTAGCCCAGGTTTCAGACTGAGTACCTGG